TTTATTTCCGAATCGAGGACTGGAAGAAAAAACAGGATACCTGGAAGGGATAAAAGAAAATAAGGATATTATAATAAACTCTATTCTACTATATCCTATAATAATTACCGAGCATTTCCGATAGTTTTCATTCGTAGATAAAACATTTTTTCTGTAAAATGTAGTAGTTAGTATTTTATTGAATATTGTACGGAAATTTCATTTCATTTTTGATTCAACTAATGATGACAAACTCTATAAACTAGTCAATATTTGAGTTAATATTCTTATATAGAAAAAAATTAGTTTGTTTTCAAAAGTTCTTTTTTATTGAGTAAGAAGAACATTTCTATTAACGATTATTTAAAGGAGAACTTTCTTTTTATTTCGCAATAAATGGTGACCTTAAAGTCTTTAGAGTACCGTGAATAAACATTTAAATGAGGAAAAAAAAGAAATATAGAAGTATCATGAATGGTGGTGCAGATTAAACGGGAGAAAATCATTTTCTTTTTTGTTTAAACATTCAGATACACTTTCAGAAAGTCATTCAACAGAGAACATTTTGCTCTACGAAACTGTCACATGTGTTTTTTAAGTTTTTTTTTGTGTTGGAGCAAAATTTAAAATATTAATACTTACTCAATCGTCCAAGTGTAACAGTCAAAAAAGCAAAACTCTGATGTAAATTTTTTTCTACCCACGGTTTTCAAAATTCTGCATCTTTTGATATAATAACCAATGCAAAAGATTTTGGAAAAATATCAAACTCTCTTATATTATATTGCTCACTTCTAAACCAATTAGATCTTTTTATGTTAGAAAGAGTCATGTTTGAACTACAAATTTTATAGCACACATACTTTTCCAGAACAAATATGAGGAGGAGAAAAAGCCCAAAAGCAAACATCCCTAAAAAAGTTCTTGCAACTTCACTATCGAGCAACAGCATTTTTTATTTTCTGTTGATTTTTTTTTAACCAAAAAGGAAATGAAAAAGTACACTTAATGCTGATTTTTTTTAGTGTAATGAGTGCTCTTGTTAATAGTGTATAGAATTGGTTCTTATACCAAAAATATAACTTTTTCTAAAAAAAGACTAACAAGAAAACCTTTTCAAGTGCCTCCTCCAATTTCAATGAGTTTTTGCTTATAGACACTATTCAAGGCTATAGTAAAAACCCTTGAAGGATTTTGGTTCCTACCACTTCCTTCAAAAGCTATGAATATTTTAATCTTTCATATATAGTGCATAATATACAGTATAGGCCATAAATAGTACTAAGATACAAAATGAAATATCTTCTCATCACTTCGATCAAATTGGCTGACTTTTTGGTTATTGGTAGACATTTATTCAAAGTTTTTTTTTTCATACGGATAGAGTAAGAAAATATTACCATTAAGTTTTATTGTTGGTATCATAAAAGTAATTTTACCGGTTATCAAGTAAAAAACAAAAAGATACATGTTTAGCATTTCATAGATGATTTTAAGTTGTCATATAAGAGAATAACAATAAATCAAAAACGAACTTTATGAATGACTTTTTTCTTTTACTTGATAACAGATAAAATTACTTTTATGATACCAACAATAATACTTAATGGTAATATTTTCTTACTCTATCCGTATGGAAAAAAAAACTTTGAATAAATGTCTACCAATAACCAAAAAGTCAGCCCATTTGATCGAAGTGATGAGAAGATATTTCATTTTGTATCTTAGTACTATTTATGGCCTATACTGTGTGTTATGCACTATATATGAAAGATTAAAATATTCATAGCTTTTAAAGGAAGTGGTAGCAACAAAAATCCTTTAAAGGTTTTTACTATAGCCTTGAGCAGTATCTATAAGCAAAAAGTCATTGAAATTGGAGAAGATACCTCAAAAGGTTCCCTTGTGAGTTGACCGTTTTGCAAACGATAAAAAAAACATTGTTGAATTAATTATTTTCTCTACTAAATTTCTATCATCCGAAATATTTCGAATAAATAACATGCAAAAAGAATTGAATTCATGCATAATTTCTGATAAGCGATGGCTGATGTTGCCTGTAAATTGATATTTCTTGTATAAGATTGTATTTTACAAAAATGTCATTTTTCAAACTTTTTTGAGTAAAGAGTCAGAAATAGATCTAAAAAATTTTGTCAAACTGATATCTATCAAGTTCTTGATTCGCTAAATTTTCGTGTATTTTTGGTCTAATTTTATCCTTTCATGTAATTCAAAAATACAGACTTTTCAAGTTGGAAAAATGTTGCAAAAACTTTTCTTTAGAGATTTTTGGCTTTAGACTTTTCCTCTTCGTCAGATTTCTTCTAGAAAAATATGTCTGATACGAAATTTGTAGTTCAGACATTGTTTTTTTCAAACAAAAAAAAACCATTTGATTGATTTAGAAGTTAGCAATATGATATAACAGAGTTTGAAATTTCTCCAAAAACTTTCACATTGGATATTATGTTTTAGAATTTCAGGAGAAATATTTGCAAGAATAATTACGAATTGGAAAAAAAAGCCGTGTCTGACAGGCTTACGTGATTGTTCTTTTTCTTTATTTCGATTTAACTTAATTGTTTGTACTCTTCAACTTAGCAGTTACAACATTTAATTCAGAATTAATTTTCACATTCGACATGCTTAGAAAAATATCAATAGATTTTAGTTTGAAGTATTTTTTGCTCATAAACAATAGTACCAGGAACCTTGAAAAGATCATAGAAGCGGACAGCACCAAAATTCACTATCCACTAGAGCGCTTCGGGTTGGTCCCGAACCTGGATCTGGACTCGGTCGAGTCCTGATCTGAAAATTTTCTACTGGCCGGACTTGGGTTCGGGTTTGGGTCTGATTTCATGGGTGTTACTCTGAAGAAAAGAGCCAATTATAAGTTGATTCTCATAAGATCATGATCGAGATTGCTTCAGAACTGTTGAGGGTGTGTTCCTAGGGGATTATCAGGTGCGAATTAAATAAATTTTATAAGTATCAAAAGTACAATTCGGAACCGGATCCGGTTCCGAATCCAAAATTTGTTGACCCGACGGGCTCTAGACTCCACCAATTGATAGAAAATGTATCGGAATGATACAGAAAAGAGAATAATATTATCCCATTTAATCTGTACTACCCATTACAATAATAGAAATATCTAACAAGAAAATTATTTAAAACAGGACTGCATCGTTGTAAAAGGTCACACATAGACAGACAGTAGTAGAACAGAAAGTGATAGTTTTTTAGATAAGGATAAAAGAGTTATAATAGATTTTCCTGAGTAATGTTGGTTGAATAACAAAAACAAAAATAAAGTAAAACCGAGTTTCTTTCATTATCTTACATAGTATTCAGTACCTTCATTAGAGAAACCATTTGGAGGCATTGAAACTGTGGACGAGTTAGCAGAAGTTCACTTAATGCATTTTTTCAATACTGAAATATTCTTGACATACATCCTGAAAAAGTCTTCCGTTCCTAGACCTGTCTAAACTCATTCAATGAGACATGTTCGAAAAGCATCGCTTCATTCATTGTATCAGCTAACATTGCCAAATATGTACTCTTATATATAACGCATCTATTCACAATAGATAACATGTCTAGCACATACGCAAAAAGAAATAATTACTTCATTCCAGACAAAACAACTTTCTTAACATTATGTAGCAAGATAAACATTGATTAGATTGTCACTATGGATCTCGATTAGTTTGGGGAGAGAAAACTAAATTTTGATAGAAAGTCCATAACGACTTTTTTCTTTTGAGAGACAATATCCGACACAAAAGGACGTACTTATTTCATAATAACATCATCGTTATTAGATAACAAGTAAATACAACATATGCATAGAAAAATCTAACATGATCACACATAAAATATCAAATAGATAGATCTAATACTTTGCCCAATATTTTTACTAGAAAAAAGAAACAGCATAATCGATTGTATACAGATACATCATGACCAAAAATCAGTAAATAATCAAAAGATCAGGAAAAAGTTTCGCAAAACCAGCTTATAATGTGGGAACAAAGCCCTCCACTAATCGGAGTCTATGAATGTTACAGATAGTTCATATAAATTTAAATTAAAAAAAAAATATTTTCTAAGATCGAAATTATTTGTTTTCTTTTTGTCTTCGTAGGAATGTACGCATGAACTGGATATGAATTTTGGTCTTTTGGGTTCTTTATTTCGAACAGGTAAATTATTTTTTTGTTGAATTTATTATCTATAATTTATTAAATAAAAGGTTCTCGACAAACACATTTTGCTTCACAAGTAACAAGATATGCTGATATTTATGCTTCTTCAGTTGTGAACCTTGTTTATTATCCATTTTTCTATTTTTTTCGTGCTGTTCCGCAATTAGTAAGTTTATGATTTGATTTGATTTTTCTTCAAATTCATTTTTTTTTGTTTAGATGCCTCATGAATCAACTGTTGATCCTGAAGAACCAATGCATTTTACATCATGGGGTGATGAAAAATCTCAAATGGATGCACTTGATCGTCGTCGTTCAACATATAGTTACATTACAACTACACCACCATATATGAGTCAGTCATTATCAATTCACACACATCCTGATTTACCATTACACGTAACTCATGATCATGATGATGATGGTGATCCAGATGAGGATGATATACCGTTAATTGAATCTCCTGATGTAAATGACTATCGACCACGAGTAACATATACGCCACCAAAACGAAAAGTGGATGAAACATTAAATGGAAATGATAAACCTAAGGAAGAAAAGTCATAAACAAAAATAAAGAAAATATTATTTTTTTTATATGAGTTTAAATTGTTTGCAGTTGATTTTCACATCTATTATTTATATTATCTTAAGCTTCTTTATTATTAGTTTTAAAATTTAATCATGGGTATTTTCTTGGGTTGCTTTTTGTCATTGGATAATGTATATTTCTCTTCCTGGTAGCTGCAATAAATAATATTGTTTATTATATTTAAAAGTATAAAAAATAAACATATTTAGTTGCTATGAAAAACAAACAGGTCCTATATCTATAGTAAAATCTTGATTTTGATTGAAATTATTTAAAAATTCAATATCGATAATTGGTAAACGTACAGATCTATTTGTTGATATTGATAGAATCGTTTGACCATGAGAATACTAAGAAAAAAAATGAAAAAAAAAATACCGTAGCATTAAAAGATAATATTACTTTGCATTCATCTTTAATTATGTTATATCGTAATGAATCATCATTGAATGAATACATTTGATAAATCATACCATTTTTAGTTCTTAATTTAACATCATGATTTAATATATCAATATTTGTATTTTGACAATTGAATATTATATTTTGTGAAGCTTGTTCGGATAGTATTCGAAGAAAACGTAATTGAATTGTTTCGATATCATAATTAAACTAAAATTCAATGAACAATAAATATTTATTAAATTATTTCTATTCTATAATACTTCAGATTGTTGTAGAAGATCTTCCATTAATCGAATATGTTTACCATAATGAATTCGATTTGTTAAGAAAATATTTGATTGAATTAATCCATTCGTTGAATTGACACATGTCAATCGTTCCGTTAGTTTACAATAGACAAGTAGTGCATCAGTTTTTGAACCTTCATTTGGATCAATAAAATAAAGTCCTATAAAATAAAAAAAGTAAAAATAAAAAAAAAAGGAATTTAAATAGTTAAATTAAACCATTTAATTTTTCTGGATAATAATCAGCAATATCACGACAACTTCGAGCAGGATGCATTTGACTTCCATCAGGTTTAGTTTTTAATTTAATATCATTCGATAGACGTTTGAGATTGTCAAGAAATGTTGAAGCTGTTGCAATTGGATTTTGATTGTTATTTAATGGATTTGAAAAATCAATATGTTTATATCTATCCAATGATATATTAAATAATTGTGCTATTTGAGTACTTGTAGTAAAAAGACTCATTAAACTAGCAGTATTCAATGTTAGAGGTGATGTACTGGAAGAACCAGGAGGACCCGGTGGACCTGAACTTCCAATATCGCCTAAAAATAAAAATGTAAATTAAATAAAAAATCATTAAGACCTCCTTCTACTCCCTTCAAAAAATCGAATTTTCTTAATTACTCTTTGAGATAAACATATAAGCATGATCCTTAAGATGTCTAGTTTAAAAATTCATAAAATTATAGATTTGAAAAATTACAAGCTCTATTGCAGTTACAATCCCAATATGTAGCTAGAAAATCATTGGATAATATTCTAGATGAATTTTTAATTATATTTGATATTCATATCACAAAGTTCTTCAAGTAAATATACAACAAGGTATTTGCATGTTTTTCTCGATATTCTTTTTGATAGTGTTCATTCTAGTGAATTGCCATGTTTTTTTTTTATTTGATAGATAGAAGCATTCGCTTTCGAACGAGAAAAATAGATTTTGTATGCGACGCTTAATATCAAAGCAATCATGAATTTTCTAGAAAATATTGTCTAAGATTTTGAAGGTCTCAAAAATGAAATAAAACTAAAAAAAAACCTCTTTCTCTCATCCGAAGCAGTAAGAAGTTCACTCTGAAATGGGACTAGCCCGAGCGCTATAGCTTGAAGTCTATTGAAAACAGATTTATACATGCGAAAGTCCTATTTTGCACTATGGCTCAAGGAAATTTCCTGAACGGTAGTATTTAGAGCCACCAAAAATTCTTTTAATAGTATAGTATCGAAAAATGATTTTCGAAGGAGAAAGTCTTCAACTTTTTAAAGATTCAATATATTTTTCACATACCACGAGGTCCTCGTTGACCTGGATTACCTGGACCACCAGATGCACCTTGAAATAAAATTGTATAATATTTTAATTATAATCTCGTTTTAAATTTTACATACCAACTTCTCCAGATGGTCCAATCTAAGATAAGAGAGAAATAGAAACAAAAACAAAATAATAACCTAAATTCTATGAAAAATTTATCTTACCTCTCCAGTTGCACCTTCATCACCTGCCAATCCAGGTTCACCTTGAAGACCGATAGAACCTCTACAATTTCATATACAATATTTTCAATATTATGTTCTTTCTTTTTTTTTTTATCTTCGAAGAATTCTTACCTAATTCCACGACTACCACCGTAACCTTTTTCACCAACATTACCAGCAAGACCACGAGCTCCTGAAAGACCAGGTAAACCAATGGGTCCTTCATAACCCTAGTCAAGATGTTTTGATACTTTACATTTGACCTAAAAGCAAGAGAATACTTACTTTAGCACCTATATTGCCTTGTCCACCAACAATACCCTTACTTCCATCTTTGAAACAAATTCATATTTTTTTGATAATTAATTATCTTACACTTACGCTCTCCTTTATTGCCTGTTGCACCTTGAAGCCCAGTTTTACCTGTTTCTCCTACAGCTCCCTAAAAATATGTTCAAAAGAAAAATTTTATGAATAAATTATTTTTCGACTTCATTAATGTTAAAAATACCTTAATACCTTTAATTCCAGTATCCTAGAAATTTATTATATAGAACACAATCAAAATTATATTCCATCTTATAACTAAAATACTTACTCCTTTTATACCAACTATACCTTGAAGTCCAACTATTCCTTGTATTCCTTGTTCACCAATAAGACCAATAACTCCTTTTGAACCTTTATCACCTTTTGGACCTATTGGTCCACGTTTACCTTTCTGACCTTTTTGTCCTGTTGCACCGATGACTCCCTTTTCACCTAATACATAAACGAAAATGATCTCTTTCGAACATTGAAGTTTGTAAATCTACCTTCAATTCCTTTTTCACCTACAACACCGATAATACCAACATCTCCTTTTGTTCCATTTATACCAATATCACCTTTTGAACCACTTACTCCTATATTACCCTGCAAACCTACATTTCCTTGAGGACCTTGATCACCCATATTTCCTTCATATATATATATATTCAATTAATAGTTTATGTTTCTTGAAAATAAACATACCTTTTGGCCCTGTTACACCGATATCACCTGACCAACCGATCTGTCATGGATATATTTATAATATTTGGTTAAATTAGTGAACAAATACTTACATATCCCTAGAATATAAATTAGAAATGAGATAGAATATATTGTTTTCTTTCCTTACTTTTGGTCCGATATCACCAGTAATTCCTTTCGAACCTTTTTCACCTGTCGGTCCTAAATGTTTTTTTTTTGCATAAAGTCATTTTACCAATTCATTTTATCTATAAAAATTTTACCTATTGGACCAATATCACCAATTATTCCTTGATCACCTGTATCTCCTTTTATTCCCTGAACGAAATATATTCATACGAATTATTATACAGAATGATTAAAAGTCCTACTTTTTGACCAATTTGACCGATAGGTCCTCTAAATACAAAACAGGAATCGTTATACAATGATTTCAACTTAGTAAAATAAAAATCTAACCTATTTCCTATATCTCCAACGATACCAGGAACACCTATAAATGTAAATAATATTTAAAATTTGAAACAATTATTTTCTTTATATAGATACCAGGTGGGCCGATGAATCCCTACAAATAAAGTAAAACAGAAAAAAGTAGATAACTTAGCGAATTAAGAAACATAGTACATATAACTCACTTGTAAACCCTTTATGCCTTTATCACCAATAATACCACGATCACCATGTTCTCCTTGATATCCACGGATACCTTTATCACCTTCTTCACCTTTGAAACCAGTTATTCCAATGGATCCTTCGATACCCTGAATAATAGATCCAATATTTATTCAAGTTAAACTATTATGTTAATAATCTTTATAAAAAATTACCTTTGGACCTATTTCTCCTATAGATCCTAATTCACCCTTGATACCAACATAACCTTTTCTACCCTAAAGAATATACAAAAAAAACCATGATTAAAAGATTAATGTACCTATCAACTCATTGTACAAAATTCAATTCATAAGTCAATAGTATAGAATATTATGATTTAGTTGATAATCTTACTCTATTTCCAAGTGGTCCTTGTACACCTTGTTCACCAATAATTCCTTGTTGTCCATCAAAACCTTTTTCGCCTTTCTCACCTTGATCTCCTTGATCACCTGTATCACCTATATTAATAACAAAGATATTACACGATATTTCTACATAAAATATTAATAAGAATTTTCCTCACCTTTTTGTCCTACTTCACCTGCTAGACCTTGTCTTCCAATAAAGCCACGTTCACCAATAGGACCTATAATTCCTTGTTCCCCTCTATATAAATATTGTTACTATGTAAACTATCATTAGAAATAAATTAAAGTTTTTTTTTTACTGAAGTCCTTTATTGCCTTTATCACCCTATAGAAAAATAAATCAAATTATAGTTCATTGATTTTAATGAAGAAATATATATGCACTTACATGGTCTCCTGTTGGTCCCATTTGACCTTGAATACCTCTATTAAAATACAATGATAAAAAAATATAGTGAAAATAAACTTTGATTATTACTGGTCTCCTGTAATTCCCTTGAAACCAATGGCTCCTACAGCACCTTTATCTCCTTCAAAACCTTTCATTCCCTAATTCGAAAGAAAGGAATTTTTATTGCCAGCGTCACAATTAAAAATTCATAATTACTTTATCTCCATCCAGACCAACATCACCTTCATCACCTTGATAACCTTTTTCACCTTTAAATCCAACAGGACCTTGATCACCCTTGAATCCTTGTCGTCCTTGAACACCAATCTAAATAAAAGTATAATAGATAGGTGCATACGTCCGCAAAAAACCATATTATAAATTAACAGCTTCAAAATTCACTTACGCCTCCTCGAGTTCCTTGAATACCTCGAACACCCTTTTCTCCTTTTTTTCCACGCTCACCTTTCCTACCAATTTCACCAATATTACCCTAAATGATCAATGATATAATTACTTAATGAAATGGATATATCAGATGATCAATCGACTTTTACCTTTTCACCAACCGGACCTTTGATACCCATCCGTCCACGTATACCTGTATTGCCTCTTCGACCCTATTTAAATATTCATTATGTAAAAGATATCAAGTCTGAACATTAAAGTCATCTTTGTATCTACTTACTATTGGTCCTTGATCTCCTTGCAAACCTTTCGAACCTTGTTCACCTTTTTGACCTTTTTGACCTATATCACCTTGATGACCCACTATGTCAGACAAGAAATGAGGAAAACAGAATAAAGAAATCTATGTATAAAAGCATAGTGTAAAAGAAACATGAACAAACCTGGGCCAATTGAACCTTGGTTGCCTAGAAACATCAAAAAAATGAATTTTAATATTCAATACAAAATTGTACTTATAATGTAACTGTACCTTTTGCTCCTTGATCACCTTTCTCACCAACGAGTCCTATTTCACCTGGATAACCGATCTCTCCACGTGGTCCTTGATCTCCTTGTTGTCCTCCACAACCTTTTTCTCCTTGACCTCCCATTTCTCCTTTTCTTCCTTTTTCTCCTATTGAACCCTATAAAATTCTATGTTTTAGTTATAATTATAATACATGCTCAATTTCTTACAGTTTCTCCTAGAAATACAAAAAAAAAAACCGAAATTTAGGAAAAAAAAACTTTATGACATTTGAAATAAAAAGATGTACAAACCTTTGATACCAACAATACCAGGAATACCGATCAAGCCAGTCTCTCCCTATAAATTTATAAGATTGGCTCTTATTTTCCAATCAATTCTACTAACCTGAACACCTTTAATACCCTTCTCACCTTTTCGTCCAGATCTTCCAATGCTTCCCTGATAAAGAATCGAGTGATAACTTATACTATTTGAGAAATTGTTAATAAAAATTTACTTTTCGTCCAATTCTTCCTCTTTGTCCCATAAAACCTGGTGGTCCAACATTTCCCTAGAATGAATAAAAAATAAATAAAATAATGAGTATGAACTATCAATATCATTACTCACAGGAAAACCTCGATCTCCAAGCATACCATATTCACCCATTACACCTTGTGGACCCTGAAAAAAGTTAATTAAAAAAACAAATTAAAATTTGATAAAATGTATTTACAAACCGGTAAACCTTGTTGACCTTCGAAGCCAGCTTCAAACAGTAAAATATAAGGGCTAAATAAAAATTTATACAACTCTTTCAAATATTTGCTTACGTTGTCCAGGTATTCCTGCTGCTAATTGAGCATATGGAATGTAAGGTGCAGAGGAAACTAATGGTGTTCGACCTCTGAAAAATTGTGACGGATTGTAGACATGCGTAAGTAAATGGCGTTGAATCATAGTACGAATGTCTTCTTCACGATGTCTTGCAATGGCTTCAGCACTCTAAATAAATGTAAATAATTTGTAAAATGTGCATTGGAATGTAGACATCTTACTTCCATATCATTTGTATCTTGAATTAGTCCGACAAGACCTGGTGGACCAGGAAGACCTGGTATGCCATCAGCACCGGGTAAACCTATGACCGAAAATTTTAAAACAGTTCTTATCAATTAAAGACATTATGCACCTTTCGGTCCTGAAATCCAATAGATAGGTGTCGTAGTTGCAGCGCTAGTCATAGTAATAGTAGTCTTTGTTGTTGTTCTGATTATGGTGGCTCTTTTAGTAGTACTAACTGTAGTAGTTATTGTTGTTGTGGTAATTCTTTTAGTAGTACTAACTGTAGTAGTTATTGTTGTTTCTGTTGTTGTTGTTGTTGTTCTTATGGTAATTCTTTTAGTAGTAATAGGTGTAGTAGTAGTTGTTCCTGTTGTTGTTATCGCGGTGATGATTCTTTTAGTAGTGCCAACTGTAGTAGTAGTAGTTGTTGTTGTTGCTATTGTTTTTGTTATTGTTGTTGCTATTGTTATTGTTGCTGTTGCTGTTGTTG